TATGAAGTCCAACGAACGGACAGCCATTTTGCACCACATCCTCGTCGAGCACAACGAGCTCTGTCTGAAGATCTTTGAATACAACCGGTTTTGGGCCAAATGGCTGATGAGCTCCTACTTCTTCTTAGTGGCACAAATGTGTTTCACACTATTTCAGGCCCTCTTCACCACTAATCCAGTGCTCGTCCGCATTGTTATGTTTGTGATCGCTTGTGAGTGCGCCTATTTTCTCACCACTATATCCATCAGTGCATCCCTTCTTTCAAATACGGTTCGGACACTAATTCTTATACTTTTTAAGTGATTATAATTTTGCATATTTTTTATTTGACAAATAATTTCTATTATAATAAATTATTTTTATTATTAATAGAAGATAAATGAAGATATGGTTAGTGATAGGCTATGAATATACCATTTGTTAAAATAATGAAATAATGATATAATATAGTTAATTATTCTTGAATTGAAACCGATTTATTTTAGTCTATTTATATAAAAGGCTATTAAACCTAATATTGAATTCTAATATAAGTGTAAATTGTTGGGTAATATTGTAATCGCTTTTTTATATATTAATTTGATAAATATAAGTAGAATAATAATAATTACATAATTGTAATAGGTAGAAGCTTAATAAATAACAATGCAAAATATACTAGGTTAAATTGCAAATAATACAATAAACTTATAAACGTTCATACAGTATTGTATTATGTAAATGTACAGTATATAATTTCTATAAATATCATGATCGATTCTGCGAACAAGAATTACAATAACAAATATACATGCATTTTAGGCACACGCGTCGTACTCGAGGCTAATTCGCGTTACATTTGATAAATACCCGGTTGAGCTACAAATACAGGTATTTTTGAAATTATTTATTAATTAACAACAATTATAATTGTTTTAAAAACAGTTGCGAATGTTTATCCAACGCCTGTCCGGCCCTACCATTGGATTCTATTGTCTGGACTTATTTGAGATAACATATACCACTTATGCCAGTGTTTGTTGCCATTCAATACTTTGCTATATTCATGACATGAAGTTTTATTCATGGATTAAAACCACAAATGATTTTGTGATTCATATTTGGACAGATTGTGGCGGCTTTGGGCCAGAATTTCCTACTGATCGTCGACTTTGTCCGCTCTTATGCCGAAGTCGGCCGCGAAGACGACAACATTGAGTACGCGTTCTCTCAGTTAACGGACGCCGTCTTTAACACTACACTATCGGCCATAAGTTTGGTTGGTTTCGCCGAAACCACCGAAAGTCATCCGCCGGTCGTCACAAACATTAGCTTATAATAGATTTTATTGCTTTTCATTTCAATTTTCATTCAAACAACAATTAATACGATATTTTGCTAGAAATCATTATTCATTTGTGAATATAAACTGAAATGATTAATGTGTTGTGGTTTTTGATTAAGTATTTTATGCTGTGATTAGATTTTCCATTCATTATAAATAAATGTTAATACTTTTCCACTCTTTATAATTTAGTGTTTATTATGTTTAGCTATGGTTTGTATAATTTGTTAATAAAACCATTTGATTTTTCATTGAATTTGTTATAATGTTACGATTAGGTGTAATATTAAATATTGGTTTATTAAATCATGATTTCAATTAAATTAAATGTGATTTACAATGAGATAATTATTATATTGAAATTAATAAAAATATATAAAATGATGATTAAATTTTCGTTATGTAATATATTTTTTAATTAATTTTTATTAAAAAATGTGAATCAGAGATGAGAAAATTCCAGTTTACATGAAATTCATAATGTATTCAATTATTGTCTTTGTTTAATCCCAATAGTGATAACAAGGGGCGCGACTTTTCCCTTAGGTATCTTAAGCGGCACTTCAGTACTCTTTGAACGGAAGAACTCGTATTTAGTGATAATGTGTGCCATCACTGACTTGGCCTCCATTAACGCAAACCTCATTCCCACACAATTTCTCGGTCCGGCGCCGAACGGCAGGTATGTATAGGGCGTGAGTTTATCACGATTTTCGGGTAAAAACCGATCGGGAATGAAGTCATGGGGTTTGGGATAGTATTCCGGGTTGTGATGAATGGCGTGAATAGGAATNTAAATTATAAAGAGTGGAAAAATATTAACATTTATTTATAATGAATGGAAAATCTAATCACAGCATAAAATACATGATCAAAAACCACAACACATTAATAATTTCAGTTTATATTCACAATTGAATAATGATTTCTAGCAAAATATCGTATTAATTGTTGTTTGAATGAAAATTGAAATGAAAAGCAATAAAATCTATTATAAGCTAATGTTTGTGACGACCGGCGGATGACTTTCGGTGGTTTCAGTGAAACCAACCAAACTTATGGCCGATAGTGTAGTGTTAAAGACGGCGTCCGTTAACTGAGAGAACGCGTACTCAATGTTGTCGTCTTCGCGGCCGACTTCGGCATAAGAGCGGACAAAGTCGACGATCAGTAGGAAATTCTGGCCCAAAGCCGCCACAATCTGTCCAAATATGAATCACAAAATCATTTGTGGTTTTAATCCATGAATAAAACTTCATGTCATGAATATAGCAAAGTATTGAATGGCAACAAACACTGGCATAAGTGGTATATGTTATCTCAAATAAGTCCAGACAATAGAATCCAATGGTAGGGCCGGACAGGCGTTGGATAAACATTCGCAACTGTTTTTAAAACAATTATAATTGTTGTTAATTAATAAATAATTTCAAAAATACCTGTATTTGTAGCTCAACCGGGTATTTATCAAATGTAACGCGAATTAGCCTCGAGTACGACGCGTGTGCCTAAAATGCATGTATATTTGTTATTGTAATTCTTGTTCGCAGAATCGATCATGATATTTATAGATATTATATATTGTACATTTACATAATACAATACTGTATGAACGTTTATGAGTTTATTGAATTATTTCCAATTTAACCTAGTATATTTTGCATTATTATTTATTATTTGCTAAGGTAATAATTATTATTTTACTTATATCAAATTACTATTAAAAAAGCGATTACAATATTACCTAACAATTTACACTTATATTAAAATTCAATATTAGGTTTAATAGCCTTTTATATAAATAGACTAAAATAAATCGGTTTCAATGCAAGAATAATTAACTATATTATATCATTATTTTAACAAATGGTATATTCATAGCCTAGCACTAACCACATCTTCATTTATCTTCTATTAATGACAAAACAATTTATTATAGCAGAAATTATTTGTCAAATGAAAAAATATGCAAAAATATAATCACATAAAATGTATAAGAATTAGTGTCCGAACCGTATTTGAAAGAAGGGATGCACTGATGGATATAGTGGTGAGAAAATAGGCGCACTCGCAGGCGATCACAAACATAACAATGCGGACGAGCACTGGATTAGTGGTGAAGAGGGCCTGAAATAGTGTGAAACACATTTGTGCCACTAAGAAGAAGTAGGAGCTCATCAGCCATTTGGCCCAAAAGCGGTTGTATTCAAAGATCTTCAGACAGAGCTCGTTGTGCTCGACGAGGATGTGGTGCAAAATGGCTGTCCGTTCGTTGGACTTCATACGACTGGAGCCCGAGATGATCGACTCGATGTCAGCGTTCACCTGATGGACAGGCCATCGATGGCCGCAAATCAGTGAACATTGAGTTATAGTAAACCTAACACTAACACAGGTCTGACTTTCATACCTTAGCGTAACGAATCCGGAAATAAAAGCACAGGGAGTTAAAGTAGATGTAACTGACATAGAGTAGGTTAGAGCTGAGAAAGACCCAGAGCACCAGCAAACTCGACCAAAACACTTGCATTATATTGAAGAACTGAGTGCTCGACTTCCAGCGCAACGTACAGATCCAGATGACAAACGCGATGCCGGCCGCCGACCGCAAAGTGGCCACCACTAGGTATCGGCGCCACTTGTTTATGGTGTAGTGGTGCCAGTCTTCGGCCATTTTCGTGTTCAGACCAAACATTTTCGTTACCGATTGGCCTGTAATTCAAAATAGCGTTTAATTTCATGAATCTAATGGTCGGCGCTGTGTTGAAAGCGCACACCTCTGAGCACTTGGAAGGGCGAGAGCCACGAAAAGACTTTCCATTTGGTGGCCCTCTCGTAGACGTAGAGCACAACCGCCACATATATGGACCAAATGGTGGCGACCATAACCAACTGCCTCTCCGGCCTCACCCTCTCCTTCTCGCCTAACAATGTCCTGATCTGGACGTCTTCGGTGAACGCGAGACACATATTCCTCACGAATATTAACCACGAAAAGTAGGTGAGTAGGGAGTCGTACGAGAACGACGACTTTCGCTCTAATTTACCACGAACTATGCCCTATTGTATCATTTGCATTGACCATTATTATCTTATGTAAATGTTCTTGATATTGTTTTAATTATACACATTGATAGTTATTTTTATTTTGTTTTATTTGTTTTAAAAGTATTCATTAAAAAAATTATTTATAAATCCTCGTCACGAATCGAGTGGTTATTTAGTGCACTGAATACGTGCTCTTAAATTGATTACTTAATATGTATTTCATATAAAAATATTGATCTATTTTATAATTGTGCAAATTATTTAAAACTTAAGACAAAAAACTATATTTTAAAACATTGCTATAAATTAAAACTAAAATAATTTTTACAATATTTTTAATGGGTTTTGTTAAACGATGTTTAAAATTAGATTTAAATTTTATTTCCGTAAATATTACACAACTCGTACTCACGTGTAAATAGTCGTCCAATCCGTGAGAAATAATGGACGAGTAATTGAAATATCCTATAATGTCGAGCACTTTATCACTAGACAAATAGAGACTCTTATCCTCTTTGCCTCGGGAGCCCTCCTCCGAGACTTTATTGCTTTTGTTTCCCATCGATGTTAGCGTATAGTTAGGCCCGGACTCAGTGGCTGTGAAATAAAAACCTTCCGATTTTGAGTCGTCCTCTACTTTCAACTCTGCCGGAGATTCGGGCGGAGATTCCGGTCTATAGTCCGGTTGCTCTTGGCTTTGGGTCTCTGGTGTTGGTGAAGGCAATGGGTGTACAGCCCGGGCGCGTAAGTGACCGGCGGATAGACTTTTCAATCGTCGCCTTACGCTAGTCGTCGATACTCTTTATGGGATATTAATTACACAATTAGTGGTCTCAAAAACTGTATCACTTCTCTGAAAAGCATTGCAGTAAATGATAACAATTTATTGAATTGCATATTAAATAAGTAGTTTAAACGTGAACAGTGCAGTTTTATAGCAATATGTATATTTATTTGGCAATATAATTGCGTAATATTATCGATAATTTAAGTTTGTTTTAACTATTTATAAATTATTGATTTATCACTCTATCGTCTTAATTATGTTTTACACACAAATAAATTCTATTAACACACAGTTTGAAGATATTTAACAACTTATTTGAATTTCAAAAATTACAAAAAATTATAATAACTTACTATCTAATTATAAGAATAACGAATATTTCAAAACAGAAACCAAATAATGAAACGAGAAATAATAATAATATATAAAAATTGTTTATGAAATAAAATTATTCAAATGAGAAATACCTCATAAATAACTATAAAACTAATAATTTGTTTACAATTGCATTATCGTTAAGCAAAGAAATAAATTTATTTACGCATAGCACACAATATTATGTGAGAAACTAACAATTCTAACTATATTATTGTCAAACTATTTGGCAAAATTATAACATCAATAGAAATACGATATAAATAGTTATATTCACAAAAAAGGCATTTAACAAAACAATATAAAAATATATTTAAAATAAAATCAAATAAAAAACATAAGTAAATTTGTTGTGAAACCAAAAAAATAAGATCAATTGTGAAAATAATTTAATTTTACTAAATGTTAACTCAAATACTCACTCTGAAGTCTCCAGTTTTACTGTTGGCGTTCATATAATATCCACTAATTTCAAGATCATTAATTGAATGTCTATAAAAAAATATTATTATTAATTTTTTGTTTCAATAGTAGATAAAAACAATTAACTTAAATATCAGCAAATAATAATAGTTTCAATATTTCTCCATTGTATTAAATTTTGGGTATGTTTTACGCACAGAATATTCTGTTTATAAAGTTTATTATAGAATATGTGCAGAAAAATTAGTCTCTCTCTCTCTCTCTCTCTCTCTCTCTCTCTTCTTTCTTTCACTATTCTCTCTATAAATTTAAATAATTGTAATAAAAAATATATATAATATAAACTTGTTTTTGGGTAAACTATACACGCGATTATGACATTTTCGTTATATTCAACTGTAAATTATGGCATAGTTTTAATAATGCCTGTAATATACAAATATAATCAATAAATTTTAGTCACTTTCACTTTCTTTATATACATTTCGTATAAAAAAAAATTTCAATAAAAATTATGTGTTTTCAAAGACAAAAGAAATCCAATTTTAATGTGAATGTTAAATAGCGGCCAATGTTTGCTATAAAATGATTAATATATTTCATTTAACGCACAAATGTTTCTCAAACTAAATATATCTCCAAAAAACAAACATTAAATCATAAAATTGCGAATTGTATTCATAAGAAAATGACACATCAATTAGATTATCATAAATTTTTATTAAATTCAAATAAATTTTAATGATATGAACAGTTAAAACAAGTTTCAATTTTAAGGTTAAATAGAATATATGCAAAAATTATCATTTTTTAAATTATCATTAACTTAAATCACTAGTAAAGCCCTAACAGTTGATTAACGTACAAAAACATTGCGATTTGTTTTCGTTAATAATTACTACTTATAAGTAATAAATATAATAATAATAATAATTAAATACAATTCTTAGGTAACCAATAGGTTAGACAATCAGTTATAGAGTTTAAAATTAGTTAATAATTAAACGGATATTTTGAGCGCATTCTCGATATAAGCGTTGGGTTCGGGAATATCACTGAGAAGTTCGGCGACGTCTAAGAACTCGTCCAACGATTGGCTCGGAAGCAGGTCTTCGTCGTAGAAGCGCAACAACTTGTGCCCGCACTCCATAAGCGACTGATCGTTGTTTCGTATATACTCTGCCAGAGCTAACGGCCAGTCGAGGCCCCACTCGTCGCCTCCCTTCACGTTCTGTAACCAAATCATTGATAGGTTTAGACGAGAATCCAAACAATCAAAACATGCAATGAATGCAAACCTTAAACATTGTGTTATAGAGAGAGTTGACAAACGCGAAGAATATGAGCGCCGTTTTGTAGACATTAAAGTCCTGAACCGAGGAGTCGGTGAGCGAAGCGGTTCCGTGCGGTGACAGGTGTCTCACGTGAGCGCATAGTATTAACCGTCGCAGGAATTTGAGTCGATTCTTGTGCCAAACTTTGGGCGCGAATATTACTAAAGACATTGTACACCAATAGTACGGACTTTCAGACTATAATAATATTAAAAATCCATTAAACAAATATTTAGAGAGAGAGAGAGAGAGAGAGAGAGAGAGAGAGAGAGCAATGATCATTAGTTTATTTTTAGAATGTAAATGTAATCACTAATGAAAGTGAAAACAAAAATATAAAAAACAGTCATTACTTCAAAACAATTGTCAATCCATTTATTGGGTGGCATTTCGAGAAAACTGTTGATCTTCTTGCCTTCCCTGACCGCCGATCGAGTCGTATTGATCACATAGAGAGCCATATGAATCATATAAGGAATCATATGGAGGTTAGACTGGGGTCCGCCACCACCGGAATCATCGCTGAATGACTTTTCCGATGCAAACCGTTGTATCAATAGTTTCAAGTCGTGAATTGTGGACACGTATGAAGTGGAGGACACTTCTCGATGACCCGTGCATTCCTGCAAATAGTTGTTATGTCGGGCCAGAGCCGAGGCGAACGCCGACTCCTGGACCTGCGGACCCCATAACGGGAGCAAACCGTTGCACCGGGTGTTGGCGTTCTGGAGGGCCGCCGATTCCCATTCGTCGCGACCTCTGGCGTGTCGTACGGCAGCCATATGACAGTCCACGTGCACTACATTGAAATGCGTGACTGTTGTGTAGCCTATAGTGTTTTGGGCGACAAATCAAGCGTTTAATTAACAAAATGATCCATTATTTGATATAAAAAATAAAAGTATTTAATAATCGAAATGAGATCAAACCCAGAGTTTTTCGTTGTTTGAGCTCAAAGTCGTCTAAATTGCATCGTTTAGTGTATGTATAGATTCCCAACACTTTGTTTGGTTGAAATTTGTATCCCTCGCGACATATGTTGCAAATAAGTCCCGTCTCTTCGCCCAAATCCTCCACTTGTTTGAGAAGCGATGCCTTAGCGGTCACCTGTCCCTTGTCGTTGGTCCGCATCCCGAGTGCACCCAATTGTTTCTCGCGCACAGCCATTGCCAACCGTTTCTTCTCGTCTCTGGTCTTGAGCCGAACCTCTTCTATCTTGGCCTCGACTGACGGGTGCTCTTTGATGGCCTCCATTAGATTCTCGGCCAATGAGCCCACGTGTGCGTCAGACGACACCTGTTCTAAGCCATGGATTATTGGTATACTGTCTTTGGAGACCAACAGTTGTGTGTTTTCGTGTCCGTGACTTAAGCCTAAAATATATAATGTCATCACAATTTCAGTCCCGCTTTCTATCAAATGATGGCAAATACCGGTCAATAATCTGAGAACGTATTTAAGAGCAGGTCTTGACGTGAATTCTTTCCATTCCTCAGATGTGGCCAAAAGCGATGACTTCATTGTCGGCGCGTGGAGTACGAGATACTCGAGCGCCTGACAGACCACTCCGCTCTCGATCACCACTTCCTTAAGTCGGGCGCCGTTTTGGTTGCGTTCGATACCCGAAGACATCATACAAAACAGTTCCAACGTGTGGTCGGTGTCGGCCGTGTGGTCGAAGTCAAACTTTTCAAATATAAGGTACGGCTTAAAGTGGTCTAAAAGTGTGCACATCTTATCGGCGTTTCCCAGCGTTAGGAATGGTATTAAACGAGTTAATTGTGTCATAAGGGATACGTTTCCTGCGAGATATCAATTTGGAAATCAATTAACAAATTGAACCAAAAATGTAAGTTTAAAATCCAAAGACTGGTTATACCTCTGATGAGTGGAGAGGACGCCGATTGGGCCAAAAGCTTGATGTCATCGCTGGTGCCGCAAGTGGTCGAACAGAACAGATCAAACTGTTGAGCGCTCAGTTGCGAGGCCTCCACTAAAATGGTTTCCATGATATGCATCAACTGTTCCAAAGAGGAAGGAAATCCGGGCGCCGATGGTTGCGATATCAGTTCCGCCGAATCCGATGTTAGGATCAGTTTTAAGAGATTTAGCATCACTCCGATCGTGTTGAGTGACGGGTCGATCAGCGCCTGTCGATTGTTCTTAACCCGAATACAGTGTCCAAAAAGTTTGAGCAAAACCTGCATCAATAGCCGACTTCGAGGCGATAAGTCTTCGATCACTTTGAGCCGTTGGAGCATCACTTGAAGGCCATCGCATTCGGACATAATGTTCGCCATTTTGTACAGCTCTTCGTCATTCACTTCTTTATTATCTTTGGTGTCCAGCGATTCGATGAACTCTTCGGTCGCGTCGCCCATAAGGCCACGGATTCGGTAAATAATTTTCATTGCATCCGAATCGATGTTATTGTCGTTTTGCCAGATTTTACGATAGACTTCTTTGACTGATAGATCCAAACTTATGATCTTATTGTTGACCAACAGCTCGAGACCTGAATCGTCCTCCAATAGAGCCACGAGTTCGCAGTCCTGACAGATCTTATTCTTAATATCTCTCATCAATGGACCCATTCCTGTGTCGTTAGAACTGTAAGGGTTTCCCAACATTCGGCCCTAAATTCAAAGTAAAAATAATATTGTTAAACAAAATCATGAAGTGTTGAACCAAATTAGGTGACAAACCTGTAGGAAGTCGTCCTGTTGTGGATCCTTCTCCAGAGTGATGAAGAACTCGATGGAGTCGTTCTCTTCGGGATATATGATAGAGCAAAGCCTCTCGAATATGAAGACGGGTGTAATCATGTCGTGTATTTGGCATTTGTTGACCGCATCGACGCACACAGACATAAAGGCCGCCGTTTCCAGTTCCGTACCGGTGGTCATCTCTTCCAACAGTTCCAACAGCGACTCCTGGGTCTCGTCGATCACTTTGGTTCGCTGAACGACCAGTTTTCTCAACGATAGGTAACCGTTGAGAACGAAGGCAACCATTCGGGACTTGTATTGGCGCCGAATGGTCGACACGTCAATCAACGACTGCAACAACTCGACCAACATTTTCAGAGCGCATCCCTGCGATAGGTCTGAGTTGAGTGTTATCTCTTCCAATTGGTTCAGATTATCGATCTCTTTAGTGATGAGAAGTCCCAGATGTTGGAGGAGTCCGTGAAGTGCCAAATAGTACTTCCAGTGCTCTCTTTGGATGATAGTGTGGTAGAAGTTGAAATCTCTTCCAATTGGTTCAGATTATCGATCTCTTTAGTGATGAGAAGTCCCAGATGTTGGAGGAGTCCGTGAAGTGCCAAATAGTACTTCCAGTGCTCTCTTTGGATGATAGTGTGGTAGAAGTTGAAAAACTCGTTGGCAAACTCTCCCGCCTGTCCCAAGTCGTCCAAATAAGAGGTCAATAAATCAATTATCTCTCGCTTTCGTGAGGGAATCTGGAAGAGGGCTTCGATCAGCGAACAGGCCATCAATCTCACAGAACGGGACGCGCCGTTAAACAATATGGACCGCAGCCAACTCGCCCTCACCAGTCCGGCCACCAGTTTATCACTTTTAAGCGCCCGCTCTTTCCAACGCAAGCCATACTTTTCGCACAAATACTGTTGTCTTATCTCAGCTCTGCTTTTCGTCTCATTGGGAATATCTGTCGATAGTTGAGGAGTCGGTGACCTCTTGGCGGACCTCTGTTTCCAACTCCTGAATGAGTGTCTCTGATCGCCGGCCAACCACTTATTCAAATCCACATTAATTTGGAAACCATTGGTCTTAACGGTCGCCAACTGTTCGAAGTCGGTGACCTCTTGGCGGACCTCTGTTTCCAACTCCTGAATGAGTGTCTCTGATCGCCGGCCAACCACTTATTCAAATCCACATTAATTTGGAAACCATTGGTCTTAACGGTCGCCAACTGTTCGATGGACTTGTCTTTGTTTTTCTTACTGATCGACGTCTCGGGCTTTATAAGCGATTGAAGCAATCGAAGACATGGAAGTGTTATGGAGTCGAGTACTGCCGGCGAATCAATTTGCAGACCCATTAGGAATAATTGCATTACACAATTTTCTTACTGATCGACGTCTCGGGCTTTATAAGCGATTGAAGCAATCGAAGACATGGAAGTGTTATGGAGTCGAGTACTGCCGGCGAATCAATTTGCAGACCCATTAGGAATAATTGCATTACACACCGGAGCCGTAGTTCCCAACACGAATCCTCCTTCTCCATAGAACAGGCCAGGAGTGCGATCTCGTGCCGCACCGATGAGGACAAGTCGATGGCGGCGCCCGACCTCGACTTCAGCGCTACCGATATCTTATCCATGAGAAGATTGTTAAGATCGGCGGTCGCCCTATAGTTGTCGCGACTCAATGAGCACAACAGTTGCCGCACTTCGTGGCGAACGTTGTTTGAGCCGATCCGGAGATTGTAATCGACTAATTCGCGGAGCAATCCGTATGAGCACAACAGCGACCGGTATTTCGGTGCGATTGCCAGCGCCTTAAAAAAGTAGTAAAAGTTACAACATTTGAATCAATTATTATTGCAATAAAAGTGAGCATTACTTTCAATAGTGTGATGCAGTGCTCAACAGTAGCCGAAGCGCACCCAAAACAACGGCCCGACGACGAGGCCAACGAAGTGGTCACTTTGGAGTCGCGTCGGGCGCCGAGTCGTGGCGTGAAGTTGGATGGCATTGAAGTCTTCTCTTTCTGTTTGTTGTCGTAATCGACTAACTCTTTACGCGAAGCCAACACTTTTTGAATGATTTTCGACAACTCGTCGAACGAAGACTTGCAGTCCTGACAGTACTTGAGGGCCACCTGTTGTATGGCTCGGTTCACGTGATTGTTGGCCGCACCGGCGGGTCCGGCGCCAGCGTTTGGCGCTAACATCAGCACCGATTCGGTGTCGTACTTATCCATCATTCCGTGTTCTTGTATTCTCAACAGCAAGAGTTCTAACGATGGTTTGTTAGCGATTAAGCTCTTGTAGACCCGATCGGCCTTTTCTAGCAGAGAGTTAATGCTTTGAACAGTCTTTTTGCGGTCCTCTTCGTTCTCGATGGGGTCGACAGCACACGTAGGTTTGGCTGTCAGTGTGTAATCAAACTTTGCGTATTTGCAAAAACCGCACGAATTGCAGAGGAATGGGTCCTTTTCGTCATAATTGATTGCTCGACACTTATGGCATTGAAACACGTTTTCGCCGCAATTGGTGCAAACGCCCGGATTGGCCGGAACTGTGGCCGAACAGCGCGGACACTGCAACGTCTCGCTCGACGCCTGTATATTCTCGTAGAACTCCGCGTATTCTATCATCAGATTGCAGGCCACGATCGGCAGCGGGAACTCGATCTTCAGCTCTGTTTGTCCGGCGGACAGTTGATAGCGTCGGGCGCGATGCCAAAGGGCGGTCTTGTTCTTTAACTCCACCACCGAATGCACGGCTCGATTGTTGTAAAATATGTTTAGATTTTTCACCTGAATATCAGAAACAATATGATTGAAAAAACAAAGATTACTTTAAAACTATAATTCAAACCATTTTTGATCGTTTAATGTCCGAAATTCTGAGCGTAATCTTGGATATGGTGTGCGAACCGATAAGTTTGACGATATGTGTGGTTGTCGTGAATCTCGAGTCCACTTTAATGGACGACAATTTCATATTCAGATAATTCACTTCGGGATTATTGCAGACCAGACACGGCTCGCTCTCCAGATAGTAGCCGTCAAACTCATGGTTGCTAACATTGCATAACATATTTAACGATAAGCCCACTGCCTTGTCCACAACCAAGACAACGGCGTTTTGACATTCGCGAAAGAGCCTCTTAAGCGCGAGGAAAAGCAGCAATATTAACTAAATTAGCGTAAAATAACCCAAAAGGTCGACAAACTGTGCGGCCTTTTTGCCATATGAGGGCAGTTTAGGCCACAGCGCCCACAGTATGTCCAATAGTGTCTCCTGTTGTTGAGCCGTAAAACTCTTGTACATATTGTAGATGAGAGAGTGTGCGGCCCATCGGTGCGAACTCGAGTTAGACTCCAATAGAAAGCATTGTATAAATTGTGACAACAGATTGTTGTCCACGTATTTCAACATTTGTTGCACTAAATGAGTGTTTATGGGCTCTTCCATGTCCTCATCGAAACGACCACTACTGGGAGCTATCAATTCAAACAAAAACATTGAAATACGAAATTCATATTTAGAAACAAACAAAACATTTCATATGAAAAACTTAATAACAAACCGATGGAAGCGGAGGAAGAGGTGGCGGCCGAAGACTTGGCACAGAGAGCGCACTGAAGTAAGTGTAGGACAATAGAGGAGACGCCTTCGTCCAAAAGAAAGCTCACTTGAATGAGAAACGGCAATAAAGTGGAGTCCTTTTGGCACAGTTTCTGCCAATTGATGGTACGATTTGTGGCGATCTCTGAACAGGCCTTCAAGTGCTCGATCAGCGATATGAGTGCGTCATAGGACAGGTTTATGATACCGTTTTGGTGCGAGTGCTCTACGAAACCGCCGTTTCGGCACAGTTTGCGTATTTCACTCATATGCGACTCCAATGAGTGTAAGTCACGGATCTGTCGGTAGCGCTCTTTCGAGCCGCAGATGTACGACAAGAGTTTGCGGACCTGTTTGCGAATATATGGCGTCAGATTGATCATCATATACTGGCACAGGTAGTCCGTCCAACACGGGCTGAACTGCGCTGTGGCCGGACTCGTGGGCAGAGCGTTGGCAATCTTCTTGATCTGATACGGCATTCGGAGTATCATTTCGGTCACCAGTTGTGGATACGACTCGAAGACGTCGTCGGCGTGTCCTCTCACGTATTGGCGCAGAAAGAATGGCGACATCTCTGGCGGTGGTGTCAGAAGGTGTGATTTGAGTGGTGTGGAGCTCGTAGTGCCCAACGGAGCCGACGTTCCCGTACTGTCTTCGCTCGTATAGGTCTTCCAATAGGACAACAAATGGACGAGAATCTGAAGGCAAAAGTCCAGAATATTTGACTGCATTAGAGTAGTGGCCGTAACTGTGGAACAGAAGGCCGAAGAAGTCTCCAATAGATCGGACGCAGAAGAGGGCACTTTAGATGAGCTACCGGTGCGGACGCGAGACATCAAAATGCTTAGTAAACGCATTATAATTAGTTTGACTTCATTTGTGGCATTTCGTTGAATCATAAGCGATATGTCGTCAGAGTTTTGAGACAATTGTGACAAAAGTGTGCCCAACAGTGAATTCAACACAGTTTTGTCGGCATCGCCTTCGCCGTCGAGATCTGATGTTAGCATAAGAATCACCTGAAAATCAATACAAATGGTGTCATTATTATTATCATTACTGACACAATCTAAATAACTCAATGATTGCATACCTGCATGAATGGTATCGATCGCAGACCTCCAACGTTACGGATTTCGGGCAAAGAGTCGATCATCTTCTCGAGTAAAGCGATTCTCAAGTTATGCAGTCTTTGATTGTTGGTTATGTCGGGTTCGAGAGTGGACTCAAAGCTGATCATTGGTTGCACTCTGACGGGCGGTGGACCCAACTCTTCGCCGTAAGCGGAACTGCGACCGCTCACGTTATGCTCGCCTATAATCGATTCGACAACACTTCCGCCCGACTCACTGCCCGCTTCGTTGCCCTGAAGAATCTCATTGGCCGGCGATGTCCTCAACGTAGAGCCATCGGTAGCGGCGGTGGAGCCCTCGTCATCGCTGGCCGCCGCCGAAGCGGTTGTATCTGAATAGTGGCCGCGATCTTCCAAACTGACCGACCGTTGGGTACCCGACCGACGAACGGCCACATTGGGCGCGACGGGCGGCGGAACGTCTTGTTGCTGGTCTTGAAGGCTGAGCGCTATCGCCAACTCAACCATCGCGTCGTCGTCGGGCATAGCGTCCACATCGGGATTAAACATATGCGGGAAACCGGCGTTCGCGCCGAGCATTAACTCTTGCGGATTGTCGTTATCGTTGACCACATCCAGTGCTTCGATCACTTCAAAGTGCTGGTCGACGGGTTCGTGGTGTCGGTCGATGGGGTTGTCGTGAACAAACACCTCGAGACTGCCCTGAGCTGACATCGGACCCAATTGGCGGTCGGACTGCGAGGACGTGGAGCCGCCCTTATTGTTGTCGTGCGGTGTCTCGCAATGCGGCGGCGATGGGATATATACGCGACGTTTTCGGGTTCGCGGCCGCAGTACGCGAATCAACGACTGTTTGGCGCAGAAACTGATGGCCGTCTCTTCGCTGAGCAGTAGTTTTAGGTACAGTTTGCACGGTTGTATCTGAATAGTGGCCGCGATCTTCCAAACTGACCGACCGTTGGGTACCCGACCGACGAACGGCCACATTGGGCGCGACGGGCGGCGGAACGTCTTGTTGCTGGTCTTGAAGGCTGAGCGCAATCGCCAACTCAACCATCGCGTCGTCGTCGGGCATAGCGTCCACATCGGGATTAAACATATGCGGGAAACCGGCATTCGCGCCAAGCATTAACTCTTGCGGATTGTCGTTATCGTTGACCACATCGAGCGCTTCGATCACTTCAAAGTGCTGATCGACGGGTTCGTGGTGTCGGTCGATGGGGTTGTCGTGAACAAACACTTCGAGACTGCCCTGAGCTGACATCGGGCCCAATGGCCGGTCAGACTGCGAGGACGTGGAGCCGCCCTTATTGTTGTCGTGCGGTGTCTCGCAGTGCGGCGGCGATGGGATATATACGCGACGTTTTCGGGTTCGCGGCCGCAGTACGCGAATCAACGACTGTTTGGCGCAGAAACTGATGGCCGTCTCTTCGCTGAGCAGTAGTTTTAGGTACAGTTTGCATGCGGCGGCGATGGGATATATACGCGACGTTTTCGGGTTCGCGGCCGCAGTACGCGAATCAACGACTGTTTGGCGCAGAAACTGATGGCCGTCTCTTCGCTGAGCAGTAGTTTTAGGTACAGTTTGCACACCATTTGGATGTTGTTGTCAGAGTCGGCCAAAGCGAAAGAGTGTATGATCTCAACCAATGCTTGAACGGTCTCTTCGATATGTATCAAACCTCCTGAGCATCGATACCATTATCAGTATATTTAAGTCATTTAATAAAAAAAAATCAGTCAAACCTTTAGCAATGGTTGAAATCAATGGATTCTTTGGACGCATTGAATATAACTTCCAAAATATATCACTTAAATATTGACAAAACGATATTTTGCTGTTCGTGTCGTTTCTATTAGCGCTCATGTGATCGTAATTCTCTGTTAAATCGATATCTGTATACATCAAAGGCTCTATCGGTTGTGCCGAATCAAGTAAACGTGGATCGCTAGTAAAAGAAGCCATAGAAATCATTTCGATGCTTTCGATGCAATTGCCGCCGCCGTCGGCACCGCTGCTGCGCAGCCTTGATTAGTAAAGTAATATAAACTAGTCTAATACACCAGAAAGCTGTCGATAAACAAATTAGTAACTTTAGGTAGACTTCTTACTAAGCGGATTTTCATGTTGTTTTTCGCAATTTTAGTAAGAAAATTCTTTTGTTGTTTAGTTGTCTCAACGCTGGTACTGACCATCGAGTTCGTCATTCTTAAGCGAATTGTCAATACTTTTGATAACATAGTTGACAATCGCGTGATCTCTATGGCTATTATAGGCGACACGATTTGAGTGAAGAGTCGCTAAAAGTGATTTGACATTAGATTCCACGCATTCATTGTAAGGGAGTGTCAGGAACTGAGTGGCGATCTCCAGGGCGTTGTCTCTTTGCGATTGTCTGTCTTTGGGATCCGACGGAATGGTCGACAAATGGAAACAGCCGTCGAGTACGTCGAGAGAACAGGTGAGCAAACGGTCCAACGATGACAAATGTTGCGACGATTGTTGCGAATCAAACTCGACCACAGATATTGCCGAAGTGGTCGGCAGCGAAACGGCAGCGGCGGCTCCGGAACCGATTGGTTGATATTCGTCGGTGTCGTCGGGCCACGAGAACGCCTCCTTTAGTCGGAACTAATCATTTCATTATATTTGATCAGATTATGTGGTCTTTCGACAGCTATTTGTTTAATCATTGAAATCCATCTGAAGAATGATTCGCCTAAAAGTACAACAAAAAGCGTTAAAATCATTTAAAATACTTTTGTTGTCTCAATGCTGGTACTGACCGTCGAGTTCGTCATTCTTAAGCGAATTGTCAATACTTTTGATAACATAGTTGACAATCGCGTGATCTCTATGGCTATTATAGGCGACACGATTTGAGTGAAGAGTCGCCAAAAGTGATTTGACATTAGATTCCACGCATTCATTGTAAGGGAGTGTCAGGAACTGAGTGGCGATCTCCAGTGCGTTGTCTCTTTGCGATTGCCTGTCTTTGGGATCCGACGGAATGGTCGACAAATGAAAACAGCCGTCGAGTACGTCGAGAGAACAGGTGAGCAAACGGTCCAACGATGACAAATGTTGCGCCGATTGTTGCGAATCAAACTCGACCACAGATATTGCCGAAGTGGTCGGCAGCGAAACGGCAGCGGCGGCTCCGGAACCGATTGGTTGATATTCGTCGGTGTCGTCGGGCCACGAGAACGCCTCCTTTGTTTTGCCGTAAACTTTAATGGAGTCGACAATTGTGACAGAGTTTGGGTCACCGCTCGCCGCGAATGTTATTGTCATCTATTAGTTAATCAAAAAAAGTACCAAAAACTTAAAATCAAATACAATCGCCAAATGTGTTACCTTTTTATCGGCGGTCAACGATTCTTCGCGAGTGAACGGTATGTCATACCATCGGTTGCGGTTAACGGCCACCGGAATAGAGCGGCCAAACACTTCGATAGCGGTGGGCGCTCGGGTCACGTCCTGATAGGCGAGCATCACTCGCACGCCGACCATAACATTGGTCGCGTCGTTGTTATAGATCTCAATTGAGAAACCGTTGGCTTTGGTGGACGCGATGTACATACCGGTCGTATTCAAGCGGTTCTTCACCTGATGCGTGTTATAGATCTGAAGCACATCCGCGCCGCCAAACTCCACATCGCTTATGGGATTGCAGTGCTCGAAGAAGTCGACCGCGAATTGCGGTATACCTGTTGTCGAGTTATTTCGGATAATTTTAGTCGATTTTTTCGATCGACGACTCTTTGACGAAACCGACGGCAAACACCTGAGTGTTGAGTGAAGCGATGGTCGCAACCAATAATTAGTCGCCTCTTGACTGGCCATATATATCCGCAAAGAGCCTAACAGTGAGAATAAATCAATCAAAACATTTGTGAAATAATTCAAAAGTGATAACTAGTTATACCGTCTTCGCAGAGGAGTATCAGTGTTGTCCTCATATCGCCGTTTTGTGTCGAGTGTCTCATCGCTACCATATCTGTAATCTTTGATTTGCCGTTCAGTTTGATCTCTTGTACGACAATACTATTCGGTTTAATCATTAATATAATCGGATTGTTTGAGGCCAAAGAGGTGGCCAGTATTAGGCCCGGATGTCCGCTCACTTCAGTCCACTGACACAACGACTGCATCGATGACGACGAAGACTTACTCGACGAGCCATTGGACGACGCGCTGCCGTTAGACGTGGACATGATTTCGATGGGAAACGGATTACTGATCTCTTGGGTGACTGTCGGCAGAGGAGCGCAATAGTTCTTCCCTTGACTATAGCTGAAGAACAAGAGTTGAAACGTATGGGAGTAGTAGATGGAAATGCCTCCGCCGTTGATATTGCCATTCGAGTCGATAATAATCTCGTCGTGTCTGATGTCGAGAATGGAGGTGACGTAGAACTGGCCGTTTTGGGCGCTGCTCTCCTCAGACTAGTGGACTGTTATCTATACAGGCCGCCTACTCTACTACTCATGTACAGAAACCGGCAGAAGCCAGTTATGCTTGCATTACAGCGCATAGAAAGGGCTGCCGTTATCCTTCTTCATAACCCCGCTGTGAACGTCTTGACCGAGATTGAAGATCTTGACAAAGTCGGCGGTGACGACAGCCAACTCGGTCTGACTGCCCGGAAGCCACACAGATTTGATCACATAATTGCCGGACTCGAGCTGCAGGTGCAGCACGAGGTGACCGCTGACAACACCCAACTGCGAGAACGTCAATACGTGACAGTCTTTGAGGCCGCAAACGGCCAAATAGTCTTCGTTACAGGGATTGCCGACAATGGAAATGGCGGTGAAGGGCAGCGGCGCTGAGGCCAGTCGTGTGAGCGTCAGTTTCTTCTTGGAAGAGTCGGCCTGTTTCAAGAGTGTCGCCAATTGAAGTAACGTTATCTTTCCCTTCTCGTGGCTGACGGCCAAGTGTTGCCGTTTGCCGTGATGTGAATCACCTGACAATAGATATGTCCGGCGGATGAGATGATGAGTACATGTCTTTGGCCGTCTTCGGTCAATACGAACGTAATGTCGCGTATCTTTCCCGACGGCAATAGGAAGAAGTATTGGGGCGACAAAACGTCTTGACCGAGATTGAAGATCTTGACAAAGTCGGCGGTGACCACAGCCAACTCGGTCTGACTGCCCGGAAGCCACACCGATTTGATCACATAATTGCCGGACTCGAGCTGCAGGTGCAGCACGAGGTGACCACTGACAACACCTAACTGCGAGAACGTCAATACGTGACAGTCTTTGAGGCCGCAAACGGCCAAATAGTCTTCGTTACAGGGATTGCCGACAATGGAAATGGCGGTGAAGGGCAGCGGTGCTGAAGCCAGTCGTGTGAGCGTCAGTTTCTTCTTGGAAGAGTCGGCCTGTTTCAAGAGTGTCGCCAATTGAAGTAACGTTATCTTTCCCTTCTCGTGGCTGACGGCCAAGTGTTGCCGTTTGCCGTGATGTGAGCCAGTCGTGTGAGCGTCAGTTTCTTCTTGGAAGAGTCGGCCTGTTTCAAGAGTGTCGCCAATTGAAGTAACGTTATCTTTCCCTTCTCGTGGCTGACGGCCAAGTGTTGCCGTTTGCCGTGATGTGAGGCGAGTGCGCACATCGCCACCCGGCGTATCACTTGCTGTTGGATCAGTTGCCGGATCTGTTGGCCCTGTTCTCCGGTGAAAGTCATGCGCACGTTCTCAAACGCTCCCTCCTGTGAGCCCAGCGTCGGAACCATTAACTGATCGCTCGATTCAATGGATTTGTCGCAAAAGTGTAGTTCTTTGAGCGCCTCTTTGGCGCGTATGGAACTGCCGATCGACGAGTTCCTGAGACACGACTTGATCATCGCTGGACTCAAATATTTCAATAGATTCAATACAATCGACGATAGATTCATATTTGACAGAACGGACAGTATATCTGCTTTACTGCTCTCTAACTGTTTGATCAGCGATTCGTGTTTCATGCGAGACATCGACTCCTTTTTGTCAAAACTTTGGCTCAAATCTAAATTTATTGATACAATTCATTAACGATTAAAACTACTATCAAATCATAGGTAAAAAGACTCACTTTTTTCCATCGATGGAGAAGACGGACGTCTTAGAGAAGAGGGCAAAACGGAATCCGATGGATAGGTGTCTCGAGACGGGTAATTAGTGGCGTCAACGTTGGCCGTGCGTCGGGTCAAAGCCATGCATGAGTTGTCCTCTTTGGCGCCGCAGTCGCAGAAGAAGGAGCCGTGTTTGGCGTACGTCACGTCGTGGTCTTTGTGACACACTTTGGCGCAACGTCAACGTTGGCCGTGCGTCGGGTCAAAGCCATGCATGAGTTGTCCTCTTTGGCGCCGCAGTCGCAGAAGAAGGAGCCGTGTTTGGCGTACGTCACGTCGTGGTCTTTGTGACACACTTTGGCGCACACCGTACACACGCCGACACCGTCCACCATTTTGCATGTGTGGCAGTGATACCAGTGTTGGTTCATAAACTCCTTTTGAGTTGTGGTGAAAGTGCATAACTTATTGCACAGCGACTCTTCGTCCGAGTCTTCGGCCAACGACTCGTCGTCGTCCGCACAGGGAATCTCATCCATCCAGTCGTCATCGATGGGGCCAACAGTATCGCCGTCGGGAGTGGACGGACGACCGCCGGTGGACGCCGTCTCGCTTAACAACTCTAACGCGTCGTAAATGTCGGCCAAATATGACAGCATATAACACGTCGACTCCATAATCATTTGGTGTCTAAAAGTGGTAATTGAAAGAATAATCAATATTTAAGACTCAGACCGCAAACACTTGTCCATACCGTACGTCAACGTTGGCCGTGCGTCGGGTCAAAGCCATGCATGAGTTGTCCTCTTTGGCGCCGCAGTCGCAGAAGAAGGAGCCGTGTTTGGCGTACGTCACGTCGTGGTCTTTGTGACACACTTTGGCGCATACCGTACACACGCCGACGCCGTCCACCATTTTGCATGTGTGGCAGTGATACCAGTGTTGGTTCATAAACTCCTTTTGAGTTGTGGTGAAAGTGCATAACTTATTGCACAGCGACTCTTCGTCCGAGTCTTCGGCTAACGACTCGTCGTCGTCCGCACAGGGAATCTCATCCATCCAGTCGTCATCGATAGGGCCAACGGTGTCGCCGTCGGGAGTGGACGGACGCCCGCCGGTGGACGCCGTCTCGCTTAGCAACTCTAACGCATCGTAAATGTCGGCCAAATATGACAGCATATAACACGTCGACTCCATAATCATTTGGTGTCTAAAAGTGGTAATTGAAAGAATAATCAATATTTAAGACTCAGACCGCAAACACTTGTCCATACCGTCCGGCGATGATATTGTTTTGCAACTTTTCGATCACATCCTTTTGTGACAAATATCGTTTACAAGTGTCCAACCAATTGATCACCGCTTTGATTAGCTCCAGATGACCGGTTCCAGTGCCGGCACCGGCGAGTGTTGTCATTATCTGCATTAACTCGGAAAAGCCCAACACCTCCGGAGTGGACGACAGTATTTGACTGCCCATCGGTATGAGCGCCGATAGGAAGGCTGAGGCCACCTCTTCGTCCACAGCGCTCGTGTCCTTCACTATATATGAGGTGAGACTTTGCAAAAGTATACGATTCTCTTGATTGGCCACCAGAACAGTGGCGTCGCCTTCGGGTCT